ACTACAGACAAGAGACCAGGTATGATGCTATCACAATTATCTAACTAGTTTTCTGATGACTATTATTGAAGTCAATAAATCTATATAAAATATATATTAAACTCAAGCATATCTTATAAAAATTGAGTACTTTTTTTTTTTAATCCTTTGCTTTTCAGAGAGAGAGGGAGGGAGGGAAAGAGGGAGGGAGGGGAAACACTGATGTGAGAGAGACACGTTGATTGGCTGCCTCCCGCATGAGCCCCCATGGGCCAGGGATTAAGCCCGCACCCGAGGTATGTGCCCTTGTATGGGAATGAATCCAGGACCCTTCAGTCCAAGGCTCTAACCACTGAGCCAAACCGACTAGGACAGTACTGTCATATTTATTGTATAGGAATAGATTATTATACCAACATTCTTTCTCCTTGGAAATTTTTTAAATCACCCTTCAAAGCCTAAGTGAAATATCATTTATAGGACACCTTCCCTTATTCTTAAAGAATTCATTTTTACCTCCTCTATGCTCTCATGGCTGTTTGCTTATCACATTAAGTTAGGTAAATAGTATATCTTTCCTGCTAAATTGTAAAATTAAAGGCAAGGACTTTATCCACAATACCTAATATTGACAACTTAGAAAAAATAATAGCTCTAATTACTTGAAAACCTCCTAAATGCAAATTCATATTATTAAGCACTTTAATTTTACATTTTCTTTAATAATCACAGTAACTTTCTTTTGAAGAAAAGGAAACTAGGAGTCAGGTTAAGTAACTTGCCCAAGTCACAAAGAGAATTAATAAATAAATGGTGAAGCTTAGATTAAAATACAGATTTATCTGATTATTCACCACAAGCCTGCCATACTTCTTAGCAAAGAGCAAACTCGATTAGAAAAAGAGATAATAAAATATTTATGGCTGTTGGCTTAATTCTATATGTTAAAAAAAAAGCCTTCTTAAACATGATATTGAAGAAAAATACCAATATTACATAGCAATTTGTCTGGATTTTCTTTTTTTACGGAGACTCCTATTGCTACCTAAAAGCTATAAGTAAGAAGCAATAAAACCACCAAATCCAAATAATGCTTGTCTTTAAAAACAAAAAAACAAAAATCACTTAAAAATTACATGTTTAATGATGTTCTTCTTTGAAAAAAGTCTTATTCCAAAAAATATTCCAACTCCATCACTACTTTTGAATATCCTCTTTTGAGGTTTTATGTAGAGCCTTTTATAATTACAACAAATGATGACTATCACTTTCTGTCTGTAATGTTGTAGGTGACATGGTGAATACAAAGAGCCCCTTCTTTCAAGGAGATATGAAGACACATACAAATGTAACAAAAGGCAGAACTGATGGATGGTACACAACTCAAAGTAAGGAATGATCCTTGTGAGTGGCTGTGGTGATCAAACACTTCAAAGAAGGTTAACTGAAAGGAAGGGCAGGGATATTCCAGAGACTAACAAAAATAAGGAATGCCACTGTCAAAAATGAGTACAGGAAGCCTGGCCAGTGCTGCTCAGTGGCTGAGTGTCAACCCATGAGCCAAGAGGTCCCCAGCTCGATTCCCAGTCAGCATACAGCCGGGTTGTGGGCTCGATCCCCAGTGGAGGGCATGTGGGAGGCAGCTGGTCTATGTTTCTCTCGCTCCCATTAAAAAAAAAAAAAAAAAAAAAAAAAAAAAAAAAAAAAATTACT